TGAAAAACAGTACAGTATTAAAATCCTATCAGGCCATCATGGTAGCAGCAGCAAATGTGTCAATTGTAATTTTTTGTGTGGTAAATATTAAAAAATATAACCAATGCAAACAATAGGTCTCTATAGGTCCTCTATAATTTTTAAAGTGGGAAGGAGTCCTGGGAAAAATAGGTTTAATGCTGGTCTAGATATAGCCACCTTTTCATTTTTGTATTCATTTGGAAAATGGAGATTATAGAAACATATGTTCAATGGCCCAATTTGCTAACTTTGCCACCTGCTTGTAGTAAGTTTGAAATTGTCTACCACGTTTCATCTTTCATTTAACACATGACAATCATAAGATTTCTTTTTCTTCATTTTTATCTCACTTTCTTTGGCCTCATTTTCTCTTTCTGTCACTGAATCTGATTCTGATTGGATGTGATGGCACACTGCTATGTATGATATGAGAAATTTGTGTTATAAATAAAACAACCTTCCACAATCACAACTAATAGCAACAAGGGCAAATTACATAAAAGAGTGTGAAGACAAATAATTAAGGAAAGGTGGCAGACGGCATTAATGTCAGGCGGATGTTTTCAGTGGTGAATATTATTCATCGTGGGAATACATTCAGGCAGCTATTTCTAAATGGTTATAGTACAAGGGTATGAAGGACGAGGAAGCGGAGGAGGGGGAGAAGAAGCATTTTTGTAAACTGATTGGAAGGGAAGTCTGCATAGAAGAGTGAGAAGAATACTGTGTATTCATTGATAGACCTATATAACTTCCAGTCTCTAATGCCAGCCTGTCGGAAGAGGGGAGGCAACAAAGAGAATTTCTGAACTAACGGCAGCAATGGGTGAAGCAGTAATGCAACCACATCACACACATAGACAGAATAATGTTCTGGTTTTTTTTCCTGGAATCGTGGGAAGTTTTTTTTGTTTGCTTTTTAGGGTTGTGATATCTTTGTTTTCAGATTTGCACAAAATGATGGGAAATTATTCCTCTGGTTTCTGGCAATTAGAAGAGAGCTACATTGGGAGAAGTCACCATGTTCAATAGTAGCAGTTTCTGGTATCTTCAGTTTGAACAAAGGCCCAGGGAGCGATTGCCATGAAAGGCATCTCAGCCTGAAACCCTGGTTAAATGTTCTAGCTACAGGAAGCAAAATTTGGCAAATATTTTTATTTAGTCACTAGCTGTACCCAGCCACGTGTTGCTGTGGCTCAGTCTAGTAAAAGCGTGTGTTGCTTTTATGTCCAACAGATGGCGCTGTTTTTCAAAAAAGCATGTTTTACCTGTCACAGGTGTGACATCTATATAATATAGGTATATAAAAATGCGTGCGTATTCGAATGCAACGTTGTGTGAAAATTTCAAAGCAATCGGTGAAGAACTTTCGGAGATTTAAGATTTTGAACAAACGAACATTTACATTTTTATTTATATAGAAGATTTATTTTCAAATAACCCTGGATGGCTTATAAAATATATATGTGAATGTGTCCCCGCATGTCTGTATATATCTATATACTACTAAAACTCTTGTGCCTGTAACCTTTAACTGGGCAAAATGGTGAATCTACCGAGTGGTTCCTCCAATTAATTAACTTAGAAAATGTTGGGACCCATTTCTCCTGTGGAAATGAAACTTTGGAAAGTTTTTGCCATTTCAATGCTGCTGCATGGCTGCCATCCAGCAGTGCAGTCATGCAACACTTTCCCACAAGGTAATAGAAAAGTCTAGAAGCTTTCAGGAATTCTGGGAGTTGAAGTCCACAAGTCATAAAGGGGCCAAATTTGAAGACCCCTGGTATAAGGTAATGTTACAGATTTAATTAAGCTGCCATTGCTTAATTAAACATCAGAGTTCAAACCTTCCTGGAGATTTTCTATATCACCTCCACCACTTAGACTGCTTCCTAGCCAATTTCTCAAAGAAATATTTCTGATATAGATTAGGAATGTGCAAAATGCCATTTGGTGTGCAAAGTCACCATCTGGAAGTGTTTTAAAGCTCAAAACCAAGAGCTGTCAACTAAACACCCTCAAGGGATCACGTTTACTTAGATGTTACAGTATCTTCATGCTATTGAAATTACCTTTACTGAAATGGGTGCTATATAAATTTAATAAGTAAATAAGTAAGTAAGTAAATACGTAAGTACATTTAATAGAATAAAGCCTTGAAGAAAGCTTATCATTAGAATTCAAGTATTTTTGGAAGGAAATGGCAAAATAAAAAACTATTCATAGCCGTTTGCAATATGCTTACCATTGCAACACATATTTGATTCTAAGGGCGTATGTCATCTGACCACCCATAGAAAGTGATCAAGCCAGAATAATAGAAGTATAAAAAATGCCATCTATTTTTTTTTATTATTTTATTATGAGGAATTGAAACTGGGGTTGCCGCCTCTGCTTGGGAAAAGCAGCTGCGGGCAGATAGAAATGCTTCCCACCCAACTTCCCCAAAGCTTAGTAAAGCTCATGTTGTTTCACAAACCTGAGAGATGGGCTCATGCATGCATTCATTTACATGCACACTTGTGTTCTGGCTGGCTGGCTAAATGAGCCACACCCTGGTATTTCCAAGGACATTCTGATATCCAAAAGCAACTGCACTCCACCAAGATCCTTAGCTTACAGAAACAAATGCTAAGATGGTGTGTGTGTGTGAGAGAGAGAGAGGTATTGTACAAGAAAAGGAGATAAGGAACAGCTTACAGGTGAAGAAGCAGGAGATGATATCAAAAGACTGACAACTGTTACACGCAGGCCAGATGAATATCAGTCAACTGCCAGCACCACAAGCTACGTTAAGCAGCATTTCTTGGTGGGATTCCTGCCTGGAGCTTGGCAGCAACTAGAAGAGGAGCAATCATACTGAAAGCATTTTATCCCAAGTAGTATAAAAACTTTTGGAAAAAGGCAAAGATTGTATGTTACTTTACGGACCTTGAGGCTTTGAAACTGAGTATTAAAAGACGGCATATAAAGGACTGAGCCTTAAAGACATATTAACATGGCAACCTCACCTTGCAAAGCCTAGAACTGACCCAAAACAATAGCCTGTTGTTGGAGAAGGTATCTGCTGCAATAAAGCATTGTGTACAGCTTTGTTATGCTGTGTTGTGTCCAGTCCTTGGAAAGCATAGAACCCTCACATTTATGAAAAGATAATTATTTTTAACTATATTTTTAATATATCGTCTGAAAAGTCTCAAGCATGTCCTCCCTTTGATTGCTTTCTTGTTGACCCATTAGCAGTTAACAGCACCTATTGTGTATGTATGCATGTATGTATATACAGTATGTATTTGCAATCCCAGCATAGGAATATGTTCCAAATTGATAGATCTGCTTAGTGATTTGATGAGATCCTCCCTTTATTAGGCTATAACCATGAATGCTCTTTGGGAAGGATCCCAAGCAAAGGAGAGAGAGGAATGGATCTGAAGACCATCTCATAATTCTGCTCAGATGGAACCTTCCCTTCCCTTCCACCACTAACTGCCCTATGAGAAGAATACATAAATAGAAAGAGAAGAAGGAAGGCACAGATTATCCTAAAAACATCATTTGAACATATGGATCTCTGTAAAAAGAATAAAGAAGAAAGGTGAAATCCATCCCAAAACCTGCTTTAATGGGAATCTGCCTTCCCTTCGTCTCATCCCTGTGTTATGGTTGTTGTATTTTAGTTTTAAATAATAATTTCATTTTTTACAAATTTTATATTGACTGTAATCTGCTTCAGGAAAATTGTTATCCTAAAAGGCAAGATGGAAATCATTGTGAGAAGTAAACAAACTGTTCCAAAATATGTATAATTCTCCATGAAATGACTGAACAAAATCTCTACACTTTCTGAACAATGAAGAATAAATGTAGGGTTTGTAAAAAGTAATTATCACGGAAGATAATGTTTTGCTGTCTAAAAAGCCATTAAACACATTTTGACATCCTTTCCTTGCTTTTTATGAATGCTTCTGTTCTTCATGTTACCATCCCACTCTTGAAACGTGATCTTTAATTTCCAGAATTCCAAGAGAGTACAGCCATTGTTAGTCAATTGAAACTGGATTGAGTGTTGGGAGGCACTATTTAATCTGGTGTCCAATAAACTCATTCATACATTGGGAGATCCTCTTTCAAATGGAAGGATCCTGTATCTATCTACTGATGCTTTCAGAAAAGATCTCAAAATGGTCAGTTGGTGCATAAATTCCAACTGCTGATCATATGAGAGCAGAAAAAGATTCAGATACACTAAAAAGATTCCCACATCACTATAGTAACAAATGTATCAATCGAACTAGGATTCTGGTTATTTTTCTCCTTTTTAACTCATTAAATAATGAATTGATTTCTTCTGAGATAGGAATCCCTTTTTAAATAACTCACAAGCTTTTTGCCACATGGCATCATTTGGGATGATGCACAGCCTTTCTGTGAGAACAACAAAAGGCAGCCTGTCATTTGTTTTCCCCAAAATGATACTCTGTTGATTTTGATCTAGTAGCACAGCATTCCTCCTTCTTGGCTAGAATGGGCTAGCTGTAGTAGAAACTGTTTTTCCTTTCCAAATAGCAAGAATCAGGGTCACAAACACTATTTAGTGACTGTCTTTAGTATGCTGTAATATGTGTGGTGAAATAAAGAGCACTAAACTTGAAAGAATATGTGGAAGAATGTTGAACCTGAAACAGAACCAACATATTATATTCTATTGCTTTTTAATTCTTAACTGTATCCTACAAAGACCTCTCTTTTTGCCACTTTCACTACCTTCTTAGTTGTCGTCATTGCATCTGATGATACTGTATAATCATATTTTCCCCAGGTATATTATATATTAGTTTCAGTGCTTGGAAATGCAATAGGTCGTCCATATAATCAATAAGCAAAAGAAAAGCCCATAAATCATCTCCCATGGACACATTAATTGTGTTAAAAAGATAATGTCTTTCAGAAACTTAACCTGCTTTCTTTGTTATTATCAGGATCCAAGCCATGTGGTGAGTCCAGTTATTGATATAATCAATTTGGACACCTTTGCTTATGTGGCAGCTTCTTCAGATCTAAGAGGAGGTGAGTTTGTAATCAACCATAGACCTGTGATAGTTTAGACAAGCATATGAACAAAATGTATAAGAAATGTTGAGTGGTATGGAATTAATAAAGCCATTCTGCTAAGTATTGTTCGCAATGTGTTAACTCAGTCCACAGCTTGGATTGGCTAATATATTTTCCCCAATTCACATAAACAAAAAATAAAACCATGGTTATAGTTTATCAGATCATTCACATAATAGGAAATTATACCTACCAATTATAGACTAAAGTCTGGTGTTAATGCCAATGCCAAAATAATATTTTTAAACATTGTATTTGTTCTGAGGTTCGTAGCTATAGGTTCTTGGTTTAGTGAAATAAACAATGATTAATGAAAGATTTCCAGTATTTTTTTTTACTTCCAAAAAATGGAAGAGCAAACCAGCCTCATATACTAAGATATTAATTCTTTTAATTGACCAGTATATTTTAGTCAGGATTTTTTTTGGGGGGGGGGTTAATTTTTCTTAGCAAACCTTTAGTGTAAGATCATTGCTAATTTAAGATCATTTATAACAATTCTGATGTGATGTAAGATCATCACATCAGAATTGTTATAAATATTTCTTGTAGTAGACAACCACGATAATCTTCAACTAAGACAAAGCAGAAATATAAAATGGTCTTATTGTTTTTTTAAAGAAAATCTAAAATATTTCCTAACAAATTTTACAGAAAGTGAAGAAATATAAGATACAAAAACATCAAAAAGAAATTATATGAAATATTACTAAAACAATCAGAATACAGAAAAGAGGAATCTAAATATGCCATTTATTAATGAAAGGTTAATCAGATTTTTGATCACCTTAGGAGGAATAGATGGGTGGATGGATAGTGGATAGACAGACAGACAGGCAGGCAGACAGACAGACAGACATGAAAATTCTCTCACATTACAAAATATAAAATCTATACCACATAAAAACATATAGATCATTTTTATTAGTACATGAAATTGCCTTTTAAAAAGTGGGTAAATCACACACAACTTGAATCCAGTCTTCAATATCAGAATATTACTACTTTTTCAATTTCTCAAACTAAATTTGTTAGCAACATCCCAAGTCCACTACAGCTGTAACCAGGCATTCAGGAAGCAGAACTCATTTGGTGAGATCAATAAACAAATCAATAGTCAAATTGATTCCCACAACTTGGGAACCACAAAAAAAAAGACCACAAAAAAAGAACACCACTGGTTATCATGTACAATTGACCATTCAAGGCTTTATTAATGAGCTACAACACAAACTGGACAATGTATTTTTAAGACACTGATTGGCAAGCCTCTACTTGCATTCAAACCACCATCCAACTGAAAGTAGATTCTTACAATCAACCATAAACAACAGGAATATGATGCTAACTGGTGCTTTTTTTTGTAAAAAAAAAAAAAAGGTGCCGGAACTCACACACATCATACAACCCGCCTTGCCTACCCTACAAGGTTTCATCCAAAAAAGGTGCCAGAACTCCATTCTGGGCGTTCTATGACAAAAAAAGCCCTGATGCTAACATAGGAATCAGATCCCAGAGCAAATTTGGATGCCTCCATAGTTATATCATTGCTCCTAACAATTTTATCCCCCAAGAAACTATAGATGGTATTCCTCTAATATGATATATGCCATCATGTACCAGCAATGCTTTTCTGCACAGACATATTAACAGACACAAGTCTGACATAAGGACTCACAATATGAAAAAAGTCAACAGAGCATTTTAATTTAATTTAACTTAATTTAATTTATTCTATTCAATTTCAAACTGATTCTTGGAAGTGTAAATAAAACCTACAGGATAAAAAATAATTCTCTTCTGTTGTGTCTGTTTCTTGGAGTCTGCCTGGACATGTCCTTGCAGATTTCTTGACAAGATTTTTCAGAAGTGGTTTGCCATTGCCATTGCCATTGCCTCCTTCCTAGGAGAAAAAATGAGTGGCTTATGGTCACCCAACTGCCTTTGTGTCCAAAGCAGGTCTCCTAGTCTTGGTCTTGGTCTCCTAGTTCTAACCTGATGCCTTAATCCAGGGGTCCCCAACCCCGGGGCCATGGACCAGTACCAGTCCATGGCCTTTTAGGAATTGCGCATCTGGAGGTGATCAGTGGGCGAGTGAGCAAAACTGCAATCATCCCACCCCCTGGTCTATGGAAAAATGTCTTCCATGAAACTTGTCCTTGGTGCCAAAAAGTTTGGGGGCCGCTGACTTAACCACTATATCAAATTAGCTTTCATAAAAATAAATTACAATAATCATGAAATAATAAATAAACAACCAGAGCTGGTGGAAAATCTGGCTAATAGCACCTATCCCAATCTGGCAACTCTTCAGCCACCCTAACCCAAGGAGAACAGCCAGGTCCTTTCTAGAATGCCAGCAGGATGGGACCAATACAAATATTAGGGAATCTCATTAAAAGTTCAGGTTCCAGGAGAGACTTCCGGTCCTGCGCAGTAGCGATTGGTCACGGGCTTGCGGACCACCGCACCATCGCGGCTAATTTTCGGCCTGTCTGGAGACCCTTTGCCAGAGAGGTGGCAAAGAAAGAAGGGTGGCCCAGTGACTCTGGAATGACGGTGGTCGTTCCGTTCATCTTGGGGAAAGCCTTCTAACCCGACAGGAGAAAGGTTGTATTTCATCAATCAGCCCAAGCTACTTGCAACCGAAAACATCAGAGAGAAAGGAAGTGATAAGAGAAGCAAAGAAGGAGAAAAAGAAAAAGATTTTCAAGAAACATGGAAAGGCAAAAGCCTCATATAAAGACACTTTATTCGATGTACTTCTTATACCTACAGCAACAGTCATGAACTTATGGAAAAACATTTTGATTCAGAAAAACACATTGATCAAGAAAGATACTGGTCAAAGGAAAAAGATCAAAGTGAAAATTAAGAAAATAGATGACGGGATCTACCAGAGAATATATATATATATATATATAAACATTTGTTTGAATATGGTTAAAGAAATAGAAAAGATTCTGAATACATATGTCATTCTAAGAGGGATGAATTCCTTAAATAATAATGTATGCTTTTCCCCCCTTTTTATTTTATTTCTTGATATAAATATTATAATACTGTTGAAATGGCTTAGATGAAGGAAATGTTTTAGATAATTAAATGTGTTTGAATTTAGGGAAATTATAATGTATAAAAAAGAAAAAATGTTTTGAATAAGAGTTAAAGGATTATATGATGAGACACATTAAATGGAATATTTAAAGATTAAATATATTTTAAATTATGGTTAAAAAGAATAAGAAATTTTGGGAATGAATATATATTAGCTTAGGAGGAATATATATTTTAAGTAGTATTTTACTTTTTATGTTTCTTTACTCTTGCTCTCTTTTCCTTTTGTTTACCGTTTTTACCTATTCGTTAAGAAATGTAAAAGTGTTGAGATGGTTTATATGGGAAAAATGGATTAAAATCTTTAAATGTAATTAACTGTTGAGAAAATCTTAACCAGCAAGAATACTTTGAACTTTATGGGAGAAACAAATCTAAATAAGGACTGTAACAGGATATAAGATGAGGCAACCAGAATGATTAGATAGAAAAAAAATATTATATTGATGTGATCATTATTTCTAGGAATATTGGGGAAAAATCATATATGTAACTGTTATTTATCAAAATAAGAACTGTATTAATTCAAGGTTTGCAAAGAAGACATTTTGGGGAAAAGGGGAAATCAACTAAATGTACTATGTAGATTATGGATTATAGAAACCAATTGTTAATGATTTTTTCTTTACAAATGTAAACCCAGCAAACACACTGTTTACCAACTATTAAGTGATTTATGTTTAAAAAAATCAATAAAATATATGGGGGGGGGAGAGTTCAGGTTCCAGGTTCCACAGAGATGGACCACTTCTGGAGTTCCAAATAGATGACAAATGAGTTTAGCCTACCAATTATTTCAGATTACATCACATGGAACATAGGCACTCCATAAAGTAATCAGTCATAGCCAGCACTTTGAATCACACCTGGAAACATATCAGTAACCAGAATTCTGCTCCCATACCAGCAGTGTCATATGGGCCTACCAAGACTTATCCCTCACTGCACATATTGCTGGACCATTTGAAACCATTCCACATAGAGTGCATGGCAATAGTTGAGCCATGAAATGACTGGCATATGAGTGACTGAAGGACCTCCTGCTATAAGAAAGAGCACAACTGGTACATCAGAAGATGCAGATGAAGTTGTGAAGATGTGGAACAGGAGCTGTGAGTTCAGGAATATTCTAAGATTGAACACCATTCTTAAATGGGGAAGTGGACCCCATCCAAGGTTGAAAATGGAATATCTTCAGTTCTAGGTGGCAGGTCAAATCAGAAGATGGTTCTTTTGGGACAGGCACTGAGACAGAAACTTATCAACCTAACTCAGCCAGCCTCCCAGGACACTCTATCACAGATCTTAAATTAGCTATTTTGGAAAATTAGTGGAGAGACTGCTGAATATGAAAACAGCATTATAACAAACACAATGTTTTTAATGCATTACAAATTGTTAATTGATGACACACTTGTAATCTTTCCTGAATCTGCATAACCATTTGTCAGGTACGTTTAATAGATTTTGTTATTCCAAAAAGTTGCTACCAAACTCCTGGTTGTAATTATTGTAACCTAAATAATGACACTGCTTGAAAGTTTATGATTGCAACTAGTTGACATCTATTCCTTCATCTCTTTCTGTGCATTTCATATTTAGGATTTGACTGGAGTCTTCATTTTAAATGGGAGCAACTTTCTCTAGAGCAAAAAGCCAAGCGATCAGATCCCACAGAGCCCATCAAGTAAGTAACTGGATTCAAAATAGAAAACTCAAAGCAACCACGAGCTGTTTTGAAGTGGGAAAGGGTAAACAGCATATTGAGGAGAGTGCCAGCTAACTGTTGACCCTAAGCATGTTAAGCTATTGGAAATCTTTTCTGAAACTTCAGTTGAAGTAAGTCTAAATACACCTATTTAACCATTGTTTCATAAGAATGTTTTCGATTACCAATAGTTTTACTAATTAGAAGCAAAAAAGCATACAAAACATGATGGGGTACATGCAGTTCCTTTTAGATGCACCATAAAAAATTAGTACAGAGCTGACAGTCCTATTTGAGCCTTTGAGCAGAGTATGGGAGCTTACACTGACACTTCACCCTCAGGTTCCTCTTTGTTCAATAGGTAGAGTTCTCAATTAGTTAAGTTCAAGCTCTTTCATATCTCCAGATGCCTCTTCAGACATTCAGCTCATGTGGGCAGGGATATTAGATTCAGAACTTGAGTACCCTTGACCTCCTTTTAGCTCTTGCACGTTGAATATAATCTCTTTTAGCCCATTGTGTATGTGATAAAACTGAGAAGTCCAGCCCTCTAATTGCATCATGGAAATATCGCACCACCATGAGCTCTCAGAACTGGGAAATTTTATTCCCTATTTCCCACCAGGAAAACTCCTAAAATTCCTAATTTAGTACAAATAAAATTGAGGCATAGCATCTCTGTATGCAAGCAGCAATCTTAGTAGAAAGAACTAACAAGAACTTTTTTTCAAGAGCTGCTCTTTCAATCAATCAAGAGTGCAAGAAAGCATATTTAGGATTTTTTTTCCTTCTAACAGTAAGAGCAGTTGGACAGTGGAACCAATTATTCAGAGAGGTGGTGAGAGTCAACAGCTACAGGCTAGACAGCCATCTATTGGGGAGGCTTTAAATTGGATTCTTCACTGAATAGCGATTTGGATTCAGTGGACTCTGTGCCCCTTTCCAACTCTATAATTTTGGTGCTTCAGGCAGGTTGATGCCTTCCCAACAAGACTTAACTCTTCATTGACCACAGAATAAAAACTTCTCTTTGCATTCTGATCCTTTTTGCTGACCATGATTCTAGTAGCTGGAGTGATAGAATATCTTCTCTCACCTTAACAGCATTCTCTTAACTAAAAATTGTCCAGGGCAAAAATACAAACACACATTATGACTTTACTGTGATCGTTAACCAGTACAGTTTTCTTCCCTATATACATTTAACAACCACTTGTTCAACAACTGCTCAGAGATACTCCAGGATCCTGGTAGGATCTTCAATTGAAAGTTGAATACCACAAGACATAGAATTCCTGGCTTTGGACAACAGGGCCACATACCATTGCTGTAAGCAAAAGATCCTCTAAGGGGGATTATCTTTCCATGGCTCCTGCTCTCTCCTCTATATTTTGACATATCAATGAACGTGGGAGTCCCACCTGTGACTGGCTTAACAACTGCAAACTTGCTTAACCACAGCAATGGGGGATGCCATTTCAGATTTGCAATTGCTAAGCAATGTAGTCCCTTGATGTTGCTCTTTAAAACTGCATGGCTTAATTATGGAAATTCTGGTCCCAATTACCATCATGAACTGAAGACTATCTCAGAGCACTTCCTCCTCCATAACTTGTCAAGTTAGTGTATTGCTCCCTTTATACTTCTTCAAACTTTCTTGTAACAATTAAAATTAATTCATCCTGGAATTAGACCCTTGGACCACATATAGTTTCTACATGGTTTTCTTTTTATTCCTGTGAAACTATCAAGTGAAAGGTTCTACTACCTTAAAAAAAACAAATTGTACTTGAGATAAGGTATCAGTTGAAAGCCCAGCAAATTATCAAATATAAATTGTGTATATGTGAGTGACTAAATGTAAACCAGGTGTATATGCTTGTATACATGAACACACACACCTTCGCGCGCACGCACACACAGAGAAAAGTGGCATGTCTGAACTTTTCTATTAATCACAGTTTAATCATTAGAATGCTGAAAAGTCCCTTTGAGACATCAAACCAGGTGACTGAAGAAAGTATGTGCCCTATGAAGTGACTGGTGTGGCAGGCACAGAGCACAATTTTCTGTGCATCTCATCTTACTCAGTATTCCTTTTTTACCTTTGTTCTCAGCTAAGAGGGGGAAAAATAACCCCTGTGAAATAATGTCTCTTAAATAGTCCCCAAGTGCTAAATGCATTTTTAGCTTGTAAACCTGTAATCAGGGCTGCAGACTTCAGGCTAGTAGGGGTTGTGCTGATAAATGCATTAGCCACACATTGCACACTGGGGGAAAGTTATGACAGGAAAATACCAAAAGTTTCTGAAACATTACTTAGGTCCATCAATATTTGTATGCAGTGGAATCTTTTTGGATCACAGACTACATTTGATCAGGGCTAATTTTTTAGGGACCAAACATCCATCATGGGACAAACTAAAGCAATGCTTGGGCAAGATGGGCACTGCCCTTTCATCTACCTCCTAAAAATTCACTTTCATGGACAACTGAAGATCCAAATAAACTTCAGTTACATTCATACAAAGAAAATTCAACATCTTCATAAACAATTTAAATGAGGGAATAGAAGGGGAACTCATCAAATTTGTAGACGATACCAAGCTGGCAGAAATAGCCAACCGTCCAGAAGATAGGCTTAAGATACAGAAGGATCTCGACAGACTTGAACACTGGGCCCTATCTAACAAAAAGAAATTGAACAGTGAAAAAAGTAAGATTCTACATTTAGGCAAGAAAATCCAAATGTACAGGTATAGAATCGGTGGAATCTGGCTCAATAGCAGTGACTGCGAGAGGAATTTCAGAGTCCTAGTGGACAATCACTTAAATATGAGCCAGCAGTGTACTGCACTGCCAAAAAAGCCAGCACAGTGCTAGGCTGCATTAACTGAATCAAGTTCACATGAAGTGTTAGTGCCACTTTATAATGCCTTGATAAGACCACACTTGGAATATTGCATCCAGTTTTGGTCACCACAATATAAAAAAGATATTAACATTCTAGAAAGTGTAGAGAAGACCAACAAAGATGATTGGGGGCTGGAAGTTAAAACATGAAGAACAGTTGCAGTAATTGGGTAGGTCTATTCTAGTGAAAAGAAGGACGAGGAATGACGTGATAGGCAGTGTTCCAATATTTAACGGGTTGCTGCAAAGAAAACAGGTCAACCTATTTTCCAAAGCACCAGAAGGCAAGATAAGAAGCAATAGATGGAAACTAATCAAGGAGAGAAGCAACCTAGAACTAAGGAGAAATTTCCTGATAATGAAAACAATTAATCAGTGGAATGGCTTGCCTTCAGACATTTTAAGTGTTACATCACTGGAGGTTTTTAAGAAGAGATTGGACAGCCATTTGTCTGCAATGGTATAGGATCTCCTGCATAAGCACAGGGTTGGAATAGAAGACCTCCAAGATCCCTTCCAACTCTGTTATTCTGTTTGCTCTCTTATGTTCCTTTCTTGCACATGTTAGGAAACCCAGTTAGACATGTGTTCTGGTTGAGTCGAAACCTTGTGCTAAGTCAAGAGTTGTTTAATATCAATTTATTGATATAAATCAGTGGTTCGATTTACTATTTAATTAGATATTATATCGAAATAGCAAAACCAAGCAAAACACCCTATGGCTTAATATGGCTTGTGACCCATAACAAGGTGAACCTTCTGACACAAACACACAAAGCTCATTCTCCATACAGTGGTTGGACTTGGGGAAGTCTCCCACTGCCTTTGATGTCAGGTCTTGGAGTACTCTTTTAGCACCCTGGGCTGTAAATGGAAAATCCAAAAGGACACATCTTGCAAAGAACTGATTAGGAAGAACACTTGACTATTGATAAATACTCTGTTTTAAAGGGGAAATTATAGCCCAGCAACTTAAGGCAACAGAATTTCAATTCTTATTGTTCCATTTTTTTTTCAATGTGAAAGGGAGGAGGCTTGCTTTTTCTCTGTAGGAAGAGCTTCTGAACCTGTTAATGCTTTGGAAATAACTACTTTTTCACTATCTGAGAAGCAGCTTCTATGCTAGCCTTTTCCAAATCTCAGTGTCACAAGGGGCAGGAATATTTTTGAATGGGAATCTAATTTTTTTCTTCCTTGCCAGCAATGCTACAACCTTCATGGAGTTTTGATGGGGATCATGATCTTGCCAACTGCAAATCATTCAACAGTAACATCCTCTCCCTTCAGTGCAATTAAATTTAAAAAGTGTCATTGGCCATACTTACATCAAAGAACAAAGTAACATTGGTTAGTTTCTCTCTCTGCATCTATTTCACATACCTAATACTTTCTACAAAAGAGTTGAAATGAGATTTTCTTTTCTTTCCCAACTTTCAGGACTCCTATCATTGCTGGGGGGCTTTTTGTAATTGACAAGGCCTGGTTCAACCATCTGGGAAAATATGATGCTGCAATGGACATCTGGGGTGGGGAAAATTTTGGTAAGTCACTGCTACTTTGCAGTTATTAGCAAAGGCTTTTTAAAGATTTAAAGGGGGAGTTTTGCAAACCTGAATACGAGAGCCTGTATAATATAATGGTTAAGTATTGGACTGGCAACAGGGAGTCTAAGATTCTATTTTACCCTCTGCCCTTGTCTGCATAAACACAGACAAGGGCAGAGGAATGTAGACTTGGCTTGGGAATGGGGAAGGCAGAAGACTTTCAGAAATATTACTCAGTCATGAGAAAGAAGAAAGTGTGAGAAAGAAAATCAAAATAGCCCCACTTTGATTTTATTTGGTATAAGATGAGGCAGGAAGAAACTGACAGGCTTTTAAGGTTTTGTTATTCTGCCTTTCAATTATAAAGAACACCCCTGGAATTTCTGCCATGTTTGTTTCTTGACTATGCCTAAATGTCTATGGAGGTTCTCAGTCATCCAGGTCATAGTTGTCCCAAAGGTGCTTTTTCAGGAGGCAATTGGACGTTCTTGTTTTTCTTTGAAGATGTTTTGCTTCTCATCCAAGAAGTTTCTTCAGCTCTGACTGGATGGTGGAGAATGGAAGGATTTATAAAGAGAGAGCTGAAGAAGCTTCTTGGATGAGAAGCGAAGCATTTTTAAAGAAAAGCAAAGTCCTGTTGCCTCCTGAAAAAGCACCTTTGGGACAACCATGACCTGGATGACTGAAAACCTCCATAGACATTTAGCAATGCACTTTGGGATGAATACTCTTCAAATGGTGAGGGAGTATGAACAGATTTCCAGAAAACATTGCAAACTACAGGAACCATTTGAGCTTCAGTTTGAGATTCAGACAGCACAAACTAATCCCCAACAGTGAAGTGACACAGTGCAGAAAATGTCCTGTAGCCAAGAAGGCTCCATATACATTTGCACTACCCAGGTGACCTTGAGGACACAGGTAAACCTCCAAATGGCCTCAACAACTCTCTAAAAGAATGCAAATTCCCAGCTGTCTGCAAGGAATATAAATAAATTCTTCCATTCCCCATCATCCAGTCAGAGCTGAAGAAGCTTCTTGGTTGAGAAGCGAAACGTTTTCAAAGAAAAACAAGAAAGTCCAGCTTCTTCCTGAAAAAACACCTTTGGGTTGACTATGCCTACTTCAAAGGGCCAACACAGAGTGACTTGGGCCAGGTATCTATCTCAGCCCAAATCATTTTGTAAGATTATTGTTCTGGGAAAAATGGGAGAAGGGAGGACTATTGCTGCTAACTATTCCAGTTTGCATTTCTGAAAAGAAAGCAGGATATAAATCTGACCCATACATACGACTCAAAAATCTCTTCCTCTTCATAATGAGGGGTTTGAATGTTTAGATTGCTCATGAATTCTGTGTTCTATGGTTTTTAGTTCTACTGTTGATGAAATATTTTTGTTTTTAACCCACCATACACATTTGGAAAATTATGTGCCACTCAGAATCAGTGTGATTGGAGAAGCTTATCAGCCCTGTAGATCAATCAGTCAATTCCAGTTATGATTTGCAAGAATTCAAAATGAACAAACTGTTACAGTGCCTTTGTTAAAGTACTATCAATGCATTAAAAGTTCCATTATTGCCAACTCTTCATTTGTAATACATTGACAAAATATTTGTCTTTTGCTACCATCAGCAGCTTTACACTGACTACTCATGTGAAGAGGCAGATAATCTTTTAGGAAGAAGACAGGTGAATGAAAAAAAAGTTTGATGCTCATGATACTGCCACAACAGCAGAAGCTGAGACATTTTAAGAGAAAGAAATGGGCCATAACAGAGTTAATTCAAAAGGTCTGGTAGGGGTTTCCCATGGGATGCCTCTAATTAGTGCAGTATATTGTACTAACATGTCACCTGACAGAACTAGCTTTCCTTCTGGGGAGAACATTTTATTGTGGCCATGGGAGGGCCTGTTACATGGGTGGATTCTTAGCATCTGTTGTGTTTCTGGATGGTTTATGCTCTGACAGCATTTTTTTTGTTTGTTTTTAACTTCCCCGTAACCCCAGGGAACACTTCAACATCTAAGTCAATAAAGGGAAGTTAGAAGCAATAAATCTAGGCAAGAGCTTGACTGGGTGCATCGTGTTCCAGGGTGGCAATATTGCTGCTTCTTTCAATCTGCTCCTTTCTTCTGACTTCCGGCTTACAGGAATCAAGCAAGCGTGCCAGCCCACATTGCTCAATCCTTTTGGCTTAGCTAAAAAATTCCTGTTGGTTTCCAAGCTGCATTCAAGGTTCTAGCATTAGACTAGTTTTTAGAAAGCCCTCAGTGACTCGATGTCTTTGATGTCTTCAGGACAAATCTTCCATATGTCCTTCCCCATATACTTCAGCTGACAGCTGGGGCATTAACATCAGATCTTTTAGGAGCAAGAAGGCAGGCAGGTAGCTGCTGTGAAAAGCCTTTGTGGGATGGGCTGTACCCAATTACCAATAGAGCAGAAAAATCTTCAGCTTAGGTGGTTCACAAAAACATGGTTCTTTCAAAAACATTTCATTAAGAATTAATGGTCCTATATTTTATTTTGGTTTTATAGTGAAGCGGCTTTAGAACTTGCTATTTGTTTGGATTTTGAAGACTATTTTAAATATCTATTGCATTTGCAGCTTGTTTCAAATATTGTTTGCTACCCAGGGAACCTTTTAAGCACCAGGTGAAATATAGGGCTTTTAAAATAAACAAGCAATCTTTTGCAATTCTGTAGTGTAGAGCAGAGGGTACATGGCTTGAAGTGCAATGTCCCAAGTTCCCAAAGTGGGTGCCATATTGTAATTGCCAATGTGATATAATGGGAAAGTGATGAGATAAGTGCCTTAACATTAAGAAAGGACAGCACTTAGGTTCTAAAGTCCAAAAAGTGCTTTGAAATGATCATGATAGCTGTTGGCACGTCCATAAAGAATCTATGTCTTGTTGTGGGGTTACATAATAGCTGCACAATTTCAGGATATTTGTTTCAGTTATCAGTAGCATGTTCTTGTCTGCTCTGATGCACCGTGTTATACTCTATCAATGCTTCCTTAATTCAGACATGCATTTTTCCTTGGCTCACAGCATTATCTTATAAATTGAGGGAAAGAGGCAGCTTCTTTATAGAGGTGCTGAATGATGTGGACCGCATGTCCACACCCATTCCATAGCATCTTTTGTACTTTGAAACTGCACATCCCTATGTAATATACAGTATAAACATATTTATACTGATCTGTTGTTTACTTCTAACTCAAGAAAGAGATACACCAGTGATTGCAGATAAAACATAAAAATAATAAACCTAGATGAATATTGGTTGGTATCACCAGCAAGAAAAGCCAAGTGGGAGTTGCTGAACAGCAAATGCCAGTATCCTCACTCAATCCCAGCAAGTGCAAAGTCAAAAAGGCTTTGCTGTATTCCTGGGGAGGAAAGCTATGGCAAATCTAGACAGCATACTAAAAAGCAGAGACATCACCCTGCCAACAAAAGTGCATATAGTCAAGGCCATGGTTTTCCCAGTTGCAATGTATGGCTGTGAAAGTTGGACCCTAAGAAAGGCAGAGTGCAAAAGAATTGAGGCCTTTGAACTATGGTGCTGGACAAGATTCCTGCGAGTCCCCTGGACTGCAAGGCAATCAAACCGGTCAGTCCTAGGGGAGATCAATCCTGACTGCTCTTTAGAAGGCCAGATCCTGAAGTTGAAACTCAACTACTTTGGCCACCTAATGAGAAGGAAGGACTCACTGGAGAAAAGCCTAATGCTGGGAAAGATCGAGAGCAATAAAAGAAGGGGACGACAGAGAATGAGGTGGCTGGATGTAGTCACTGAAGCAGTAGGTGTGAGCTTAAATGGACTCCAAAAGATGGTAGAGGACAGGAAGGTCTGGAGGAACATTGTCCATGGGGTCATGATGGGTCGGACACGACTTCGCAACTAACAACAACAATAACAACAACTTCTGAACTGTGATTCCAACTCCAATAGAGGATCAGAAAAAGAGAAGATAGCTGAACGTTATGAACTATACCATTATATTAGTCCTTTCTTGATCAAAGAGAAAGTTAATGTAATAGGAAGAGATATATCCTGGATCAGATCATGGCCATTTTAGTCTAGCTCAACCAGGTGCTGCAAGGAGCACATACACCTAGTCCTACCTGTTCTCCAAGATGGTGCTAATATGTAGCCACCATGCCTAGCAGTTGTTAATGGGTTTTGGATTACACTAAGATTTAAAAAATGGTACCAGCAATTGGGATCTTGGGTTGGCTGTATGACACATTTGTTTTGCCTCTGTTCTCTAAGAAATTCCCAGACTGTTGAAGGGGAAAGGTAGTGACATTGGTTCCTGTTGTGCCTGCCTAGAAGGGTTGACCAAATTGTGTGGGTTATACTGCTGCTTTTATTTGTGGCTGCAGGAATGCTACAGAGCAGAGGAAGCTAACAGTGCTACAGCTTTGAAAAAGGAAGGGAGGCATGGAGATAGCAGGGAAACAGATCTTAAGCTGGCACTAATACTTTGTCACCTCAAGGGAGTGTGGGTAGTAAGGAAAAATAATCCTTGTCTTCAGAGATGCAACAGCTTAGTGAGCCAGTGAAACAGATGCTCCTGTTCTGTGGCAATCTCATCCATTGTCTCCCTCTCCCCTTGAAGCTTTGTACATTAGTGTGTCATTATACAGTACATGTTCTTTTTTAATAAGTGGGGATTGTATATACAAATAGTTGTGGGCCATGCTGCTTCTTGCTGAATTGCCCTTTTCTACTGAAATTTCCTCTCACCAAGGAAATCAAGGTCATATAATCAAGCAGTCCCCAAAGTATCAGTGCTAAAAATGGAAAGCCAAACTAGCTTTGTGTCTTTGTGTAATGGAACTGGCCCAATAGCTAGTCTGAAAAAGAAAATGAAAGTTTGCTGGAGTTATGCAGGAAGAACATGCATGCAGATAACAGGCCTGGGGAACAATGCAAAGCAATGAAGCAAATCTAAGAAGGTAAAATATAGCCCTCTTTTTGAAAAAAATAAAATAACAGAAGACAGTCTTATGTTGAAGGCTTCTGTAAATTTAAAGCAAAATCCTATAAGAGAATTCAAGTTTCCCATCTGAACAAGACAGCAAAAAGTATTGACAATTTTCAGCTTTGGTATTGGAGAAGATTGAGTAAGGTAGAAGGAAAGCGATAGCATGATCATCAGCAAGGTGTCTGGACTCAGTGATAGTGGCAATAGACACACTGTTGGAAGACCTGAAGGACCAGGTTAGAGACAGATCAGCCTGGAGAAGGACTATCTGTGTGGTTGCTAAAAGTCAGCATCAACTTGGTGGCACAAAATCATTCAATCAATCAATCATTCATTCATTCAATCAATCAATAATGAAAAGTTCCCTGTCAGTTTTAATAACTATACTAATATCGCCTGTTTCCTAATTTACAGAGAATGCATCTTCTCTTTAAAGGCATCCTTTATTTAAAAGGCCATACAAGCCACGAGCAGTTAAAAATAAGGAATATAAAAAGGTAGAGCAGTTATTATGTTATGCTGCTCCATAATTGGTACTGGGATGGCAGGCTGAAAAGACAGACAGGTTACTTAGTCACAGTCATTATTATTATGTTTGTATTTGTGTAAAAATTGTATTATTTGTTCAATTTGTATTCCCACTGTGAGGAGATGCATAGTATTTCAATTCAAATAAAACTATATTGATTGGCATTTAGCCTATAGAGAGGTATTTTCTCTTCTGGGGCTTTGTAAAGAGCCACCCAGGGAATATTAAGCCAGATTTTTAACCTGCAGCAAAATTCAAAACCTCATAGGTTTTACAATGGGTAGTACCTTCTGAAAAAGAGCCATACTCTGACTTAGTTATTAAGTATGAGTGAAACAGTTTTATTTCCATAGTGTCAAGATGTACTTTGATAGATGTCAATGGGCCTTCTTACTGCTTTAACCGAAAACTGGTTACATCCCTATGGTAATTGACTTCACACTGGGGGAAATAATTGGATGAGCTGGTCTAGTTTTTGTCATTTTCTTATTCATAAATTCTGTCCTGATGTCCAGTCTTCATGAGCAAAATTATTTTGCTAGAATTCCTCCTTCTGTCCTTGGCAAACCTAAGCACAACTCAATACTTTGTCGTCTTTTTATTGGCATTTTCCCCCTAGATCTCATTGTTACAATTATATTCATTTTGCCTCCTTGCCTGATTCTCTTTTTGTTTTTTCCAACTTGCTAATAAAATCAGTATTTGTCAAGAAGGGCATGGTCCTTCGCGGGGTCCCAATAATTACAAGAATTAGGAATTAGCATGTTTCTCTTGAGAAGTAAACTGCTAAGGGGCCTGCTTATAAACTCACTCTGGATATCATCATTTTCAATGTTATATGGAGAGTTCAAATGAATACATATCAGGCTGGTGGTAAAGAGCTTTGAAAAGCACTTAAGACGGCAGAATGCCTAGAAATATTCTCACTGACAGTAATGGGTTTGCATGGTTTGATGTGAGAAAAAGGGAGAAGTCAGGGATAGGCCAAAATCCCATCTGGTCCCGGACTTTAAAAAACTGAAGTTGAGCCTGTCTTTCATAGAAATCTCTTTCCGAGTGTGGATGTGCGGCGGAAGCTTGGAAATCATCCCCTGCAGTCGGGTTGGACATGTCTTCCGGAAGAAGCATCCTTACATCTTCCCAGAAGGAAATGCCAACACTTATATAAAGTAGGTTTGGGGTGGGTTTTTTCCTTTTCACATATTCTTTATTGAAAGTGAAATAAATTCTATGGAAGGTCACATGTCCCAAGCACACAACCCCATGTGGGATGTGTCAAAGTGCGGGTTTTGATACTATACATATAGTCCTCAGCTTACAACAGTTCATTTAGTGACCATTCAAAGTTACATCACTGAAAAAAGTGACATGTCCATTTTTCCCACTTATGACCTATGCAGCATCCCCATGGTCACGTGATCAAAGTTCAGATGCTGGGCAATAGACTCATATTTATGACCGTTAACAGTTTCTTTGGTCATGTGATTACCTTTTGCGACCTTCTGACAAGCAATGCGGAAGCCAGATCCACTTAAGAACCCTGTTACTAACTTAACAGCTGCAGTGATTTACTTAACAATGATGGCAAGGAAAGATGTAAAATGGGGCAAATGTTAACGTCTCACTTAGCAACAGAAATTTTGGGCTCAATTTTGATTGTAAGTCAAGGACTACCTGTAGTTTAACCAGCACATCAGGAAGAATGAAGAATTGAAAAATAGGTTGTAGGGAAACAGAGGAAGTTAAGGAGAATAGAATGGGAGTATTAATACTAGTTCTTAATAATGAAAATTGTCTTCCGCAGCAAGACTTCAAAATATGGGTAGATGTGAGTACGGTTGATGTGGTCAGCATTTGGAGGAATCTAATTTTTAAAATATTTGCTAAGAATGCTGATGAAATTATGAGTGTACATTATATACATTCTTAGATCAGTCTAAGTGGTATCTTTAAAGTGAGAAGTGGGCAGATTCTCCCAAGAGATTTCCTTCATTCATAGAATATCTGAATTTCTTTTCATGCTGTGGTGCTCAGTGGACATGTACTATATTTTCTAATTATGGCTACTTTGATTTATGCTAAACAGGTTGAAACGAAAAACATACCATGCACCAAAAAAGTCTAACCCCATTGCTATTGACATCAGGCCTAATATGACTTCTTTTTAAATTTTCCCATTGTTCATCACCTAATTCAGCTATTCAAGGGCACTGAGCAGAGTCACAGGGGATAGTTGCTGAGTTGATTCTCTATTCAGATTACCAGAAAATCTGTCACTGTGTTTAAAAAGAGCTCCAAATATTCAGGCATGCACATGTAAAATAATCTCTACAGCTGGGCAGCTGTGATAAGAAAAGGCATATGCAAAAGCGGAATCACAGTGCTCACGCAAAACATTAACTTCAGTTTGGAACTTTGTGGTTCCGAATGTAAGTAAAACAATGTTGGTTGTTTTGGTATTATTCAAAAAATATTAAAACTGTGCATAAATATTTAGAGGCAGTAGTAATACCATCTCCAAGTTGTATGGAAATTCCAGGACATTTGTGCCAAATATAGTTGTGAACTTTCTTGTTTGTTTTTCCGTAGACGGAGCAAATATATGGCATTCATTTTGAGCAGTGGCATTCCATTGCTACAGTGGAGCTACAGATGTATACTGGATTGTTTTTCTCTTTTAGAAGTTACACTACTCAGCAAGTCCTCTGATCAACTTCACATTTTAGGATTGCAAGTCTGCTTATGGATAGTTAATCAAAGCAGTAGAGCAGATGAAAAGAAATTGCAAAGGGAAGAGGGAATGTAGCCTACCTGAATAGACCTTGATCAAACTTTAAATGAATAAGGTGAACCTTGGAGAGCAAGGGGGGGAGGGAAACAAACAGGAGACAGAATGAATAATAGAATCATCCCAGTGAAGATTTAGGAGCGCCAACTATTGGATTCCATATACTCCTTCATATATCTCTATCAGCTGCTAGACACCAATTCAAATATGTCAAGGTTGCTCTTCAGAGGAATAATTCCTATGCTTCTAAGTGCAAAATTCATACATCATTCACTGATCTTCTTGCAAAGAAATACTCTAGATATTGGGATATTCTTAAAGAACAGGGAGAGAGAGTGACAAAAACTCACCAATTATATTCATTTGTCAATGCATGCTTTGAAAACCTACCCTTTTTGCAATGTTCAAGTGGGTGGAATGAGAATATTTATTCTCTTCTTCGTTTATTACACTGCTTTCTGCCAGAATCTGGAGATTCCTTTTCTAGGCCTTTGCAAGATATGAAAATTATCTAGCCAATATATTGAACAAACTGTAATAATAATAAAAAATTGAATTGGTGTTACCTTCTGCTGATAAAGAAAATGCAAAATACAGTCTTCCTGCATTATATTGCACTACTAAGGACGTTTATCAGGTTTTATATGGAAGACTTCTACTACAGTCAATCAACCTTAGAAATACACATAGTTACTTTAATGAGTGTCATTAAAGTAGAGGTGTCAGGTTTACATTTCCACACTTCTGACAGAATCTGTTCCAAATCAGATCTAAAACATTGTACAGCCCTTTAATAAACAGCAGCAATGCAGTCTTTTTCCATCAGTTTATAGGCCCATTTCTTTATAATGAATCCATGTATATTTTTTGCAGAAAATGAATAGAAATTATATAATTAAACTGAGGATTTTCAATCAAATAAACCATGAGGTTATGCACTGCCTTGGTATGAATCTTAATTTACTATCTGATAAAGTTGGATTCAGTACCAAATAAATATTGCAAAGGTACCTGTAATATTTTTGGCACTCTGATGCCTTAACCTACTTTGTTATAGACAAATAGATGAATATTTCAGGCTTGTAATCATCAGATCTGTACATTCTGCTTTAGGTAGGTTCTTAGTCCAGTTATTTACTCCATGTACCTGCAAGCATCCCTTTTTCTAAGTTTTCATTTCTCCTTTATTACAACTGGGGAAACAGCTAGGAAGCCCACAAGAAATCTAACTTACCATTTCTGAATTTGACTTACAGGTAGTCCTCAACTTACAACAGTTCATTTAGTGACTGTTCAAAATTACAACAGCACTGAAAAGAGTGACTTGTGACCATTTTTCAAAGTTACAACCTTTGTAGCATCCCCATGATCATGTGACCAAAATTCAGATGCTTGGCAACTGGTTCATACCAGTTGACTGGTATGTGATCACCTTTTGCAACCTTTTGACAAGCAAAGTCAATGGGGAAGACAGATTCACTTAACAACGGGGTTACTAATTTATCAACCACAATGATTCACTTAATAACTGTGCCTTAAAGATTGTAAAATGGGGCAAAATTCACTTAACAAATGTCTCACTTAACAACAAAAATGTTGGGGTTAATTGTTGTAAGTCAAGGACTACCTGTATTTGGACATGTGTTACTATAGTTTCCAGTTTACACATAATGGAAGCTATAGTTAATAACTGCTTCTGATTGGTCCTGGGGCAGATGTATTCATAATGTACCTCTAAACAAATATAATATGTCTTTAAGAACTGAACTCTATCACTGGTTGTTTTTTTTTCATCTAGATCTCTCATGAAAAGAACTGCTGCTTTCCCTCGCTCTTATCCTTGCTGGTTTTTTTATTAGAAGCATCAAATTTAAACTGCTTTATGCAAGCTTTTCTTGTTGTTTCTCCTTCCTTTTTAAAATGTCTTTCCTTAGAAACACCAAGCGCACAGCGGAAGTGTGGATGGATGAATACAAGCAATACTATTATGCAGCCCGGCCTGCAGCTCAAGGGAGACCATATGGAGAGTAAGTGGCCCCCTCTGGCAGTGAAGGAAAACAGAAAGAGACTCAATTGCTTGATATGGTAGAACCTCATTATTGTTTTATTGGAGCATCGTCCAGCTGTTGGGATGCGTGCTTTTTGTTTCTCTGGGAACAGTTAATTAGATGTTAATAGCAAACAGATGCTGCAAGGATATAAGTATAAAGTCCTAGTTGTTATTTGTGGTGAAGTGGGGGGGGGTGGAGAGCTTATATAAAAGCCCATTGGCCGATCACATTTAAAATATTGGTTTGTTCATGAATGAAAATAAACGGGCTCATCTCCTCAAACATTTCTCATGTTTGAAATTGTCTCAGATAAATTCCAAGGTGATTTCTCCTTTTCATAGCTGTTCGGTTGGTCCAGGAGAAACAGAATCAGCTATCCTCACTAATGAGTTAGCCTTGTGAATAAACACTACTCCAGAGCAAAAGCAAATAAACACTTCCTCCTGCAACAAAGCCTAAACCCATACAATATAAGATATATGAGGCAGTCTGAATCCTTGTTTCCCTATTTGCCCCTAAAGCAACTGTTTTAACATTGGCTCAGAACTGGTGATGAAATTTATTTTATTTCCAGCTACCATTTACCTTCTTTTTTTTTTTATTGCTCCTTTATCCAGTGCTTTAGGTTGTTTTATAACAGTATAATCTCAGGTGATGGGAAGGTGCAGGTCACCTGTATATCTTGTTCATGCTACTGCCTGATGTTCTGGGACCTTTGTTCTGTGTCAGATGAAATCTTCCCTATCACTTGTAATAATGTATTATACATTGTAATTACTTCAGTTCAGCTAGTGCTGCTCATATCCCTGATCAAGCAGTTAGCAACAGCACCAGTTATATATCTGGAGAAAAAGAACAGTAAAGATTCCCTGGAGTGGAGCTTAAATGTAGACAGGGATGCATCATTTTCTTGGCATAAGTACAAAACTAGTGTTTGCTTTCTTTCAGGATTTTTTTTTTGTCCCAATCTACAATCTATTGCCCTAGGATTTTCTCAAGACATCCTATCTATTAGGTCTGACTTTGCTTAGATTTTTTGAGATCAACCAAGGTCAGCTGAGTGTTTCCATCTGCTCTGATTATATATTAAAGGGGAAAGTTAAATCCAATCCATTATTTTCTTTACCAGCAGGGTGTTGTTGTTTTTTTGCTTATTTTCTTTATGTTATCTAAATTTCAGGACTGGGCTTGGAGCAATTAGTGTAGCATTCATTAGATTTGTGGTTCTCATTCATGTTAATTTATATGTGCACAAAAATGGCTTCTGCTCACATATGCCACAGTTAGCTGCATGTAGCACTGCTGTCTTAGAGAAAATTGCTAAGGCCAAAAACATTTGTGGGAATTTTTATCATACCATAAAGTGAAAGAATTAATTCATTTCTCTGTGATCCCAGTCCTGACTCATAACTTTTTAATAATAAAAATCTATAATCCTATGTCCATGTCTACTTCAGTTTCAGCTATTCAATCATCCTAGTCATATATGTAGACCAGATTTAATCAAAAATTGTTTCTTTTACTTGGAGCTAATTTAACCTTCCTGTGTAAGATATTTCACAGCTGGAGCACATCTGACAAAATCTTATTTACAAGTGCAAGAATGCAAAATTTCATTTATTGATAATATAGTAGAAAGAGCCTTCTCAGAAGAACTCAGATCTTACAGTTGTTTTCAACTCAGATTGTGCCAGAATGGAGAAAGTAAAATACCTTCTATTGTTTTGTCCTATGATCTCCCAGTTCTGCAAATTTTACTTGTAGCTAATAACCCAAGCCTGGGAAATAGCTAAGAGAGAAATGAGATATGGTTTTGTTTGGGTTTTTTTCCCCCCACAGTGTCCCTCATAGGGACAGGAGGTTGATATGGGCTATAGAATTAACAGAAACTTAATAGCATTCAGAGATGGACTCAGATTGGCAAAAGAAAATAATGGCTAACAAGGAAATAAAGAATTGATCAGACAACTAAAACAAAAACTCATATCATCAAGGAGGAGGATGGCCAGCAAGGGATATGTACATCTAGCACAGATATCCAGAGGACAAAGAACCCAAAAGACCAAAAATAAGATCAACTGTACACTAATTGTTGGGGTTTGCCAGCTGAGTTTAATTAATGTCCTGGATTAACTCTTTTGGAAATTCAGTAGAATTACATTTTAAAATAAGCACAGCATCATTTTAGCAGTACTACTACTGTCAGAGAGTTAGTTAATTTCTGAACTGTAAAGCAGTTAGGTCATAAAGTAATTTACTACATTTCTTTGAGGAAAGAAATGGAGAAGTTGAAGGTTTCTGTGCATTAACTGAATCCGTTTGCATAAATATCTAGTTAGAAGAGTCAATATATTTCTATCCTTTTAATGCTAAGAATAAAGAGAAAAATTAGAATGACATGCAAGAAAAGACCTTGCATGCTGTATTTTGCCTTATTAATCTTTCATGACACAGACTCTAAGACTACATTAATTGCATTTTAATATTATTTTAAGGTTGATCATTTCTGTTACTTTATGTGTTAATATTAGACATGCAGTGCTGCATTTGTTAATTCTACTATGCCAGGATTTGTTTTAACTGCATTACTGAGCAAACCAGAGCATCCTGATTCATGCATAACACTAAGCCATAAATTGGTGATAGAAACCACAATGGCTGGGGTCACACAACATTTTAACCTAAAACAAAATGATGGTTCAGTGCAATGTGTGATTACCATTAGAAATAACTATAAGAGAGGAAGTGACTTCCACATTATTCTTCTATTCTGCTATTCCATTTATTTATAATGGAATCTAATTTTTTTCTGACCCACTAAAACTTGACTCTCATTAAAGATGTAACCAGATTTTATTTTTATTATTTTTTTTATTTATTATTTTAATTTGTATACCGCCCTTCTCCCATAGGACTCAGGGCGGTTCACAGCATATTAAAAACAAATAATAAACACAAAATACAAAAAATTACAAAATACAAAAATACAGAAAATAAACCCCGATAAAAGCCGAATTAAAACCAAATATTACAAGCTGTGTTTCCAATTAAAATACTTTTAAAATNGGGTTTGGACAACAACTTCCAAACTCCCCAATCAGCTTATACCAACACATTTCCAGGGGGTCAGGCTGGAGAAAATAAATCGTCTATGGAAAGAATAGGAAGTACATATCTTTCATGTAATATCTGAAGACACCTATATAAGCTTGCATATTTTTAAAAATCTTCTCTTTTCTAACACTCCTTGCCCACAGAAATCTTGTGTTTATAAGCTTGTCATTGAGATGCTGATTATTTATAAGCAGAGGACTGTTTACCTTGGATAATGTTTAGATAATCTGTGTTTTAATTGTTTTTTGGAATAGTGGATTTGTTTTCTTTGATTCAGATTAGAAGAACTGATGTGAGCTGATTTCCTACTTGGTAGCTAAGTGGTAAAATATTTATGTATAAAAAATTCTTCCACAAGATATGTCTGTAAGCTGTCACAGCCCCAACAAATATTCCATGGCTAGTATTTTTCTGGAATGTAACTTTATCATCTGCAGATCACTTTGTGTGCAAAGAAGTTGCCTTGTGATAAGTCTTCCCATGAAGCCAGGGACATTATTTACTATTCTGTTCCTTTTCAGACTCAGACATCTTTATTAGCAGTAATGCTTGGGGTGCATAGAATCTTGAATGTTCTTAGCATCCCAAGAATCAAAACTGTAAGGGACTTTGGTCATTCCAGCAGAAATATCCTGTATTATTTGTTATTTAGATTTATATTCTACTTTTCCTCCAGGAGTTCAAAGTGCAGTACTTAACATTCACATTTTCCCCTACTACAATCATGTGAGGTAGGTTGGCCTGACTGGCACTTATTGACCTATATCACCCCTTTGTGAACTTCAATAGTAGGTGGATTTGAAGCTAAGTCTCCCCAGTCCTCTCCCAGCACTGATTCTCTCTTATATGAATAAATCTTAACAAGAGCTCATCCCAGACCCATTTGTACGTAAAAGCAAGCTGTTATGGCCCATAATTCTTCTCCCATCTTTCAGACCTATTCACTCTTTTTCCTACTTCTAAAAAAATGTACTGAATTGCAGCACTATATGAAGTTCATACTCGGCATTCATTCAATATTAAATTGCCTATTAAAGTAAAAGGAGCTTAATGAAGCTTATCTCATTCTCCCCCAATCAGTAAAAGGAAAATATGCAGTGTCAATCAGAGAGTATTCTTTGGAGCAGATTAACAATTAGGTGCCACTTTGCAACCCTAGGAACACCCAAAGGTATGCTCTGTCTTCCCACTCCACCCATGTTAAAATTATATTTTTCATGTAAGAATACTGAATATGTACTTCAACTTTAGCAAAAAAAATAATAATAATGACTCACAACTATTCATGAAAACAGGGCCTTCCTTCATTGTGAAGTTTCAGTAGGAGAGGAATTATTGTTTTGTATATCTAGGAATATGACAGACAATAGGTTTCATTCCCTGTATTTTCTCTGGGTGATCCATGTGATCCTGTTGCAGTCACTGAAGAATGCAAAGTCACTCTGTTCATCTCAGTATAATATCTTCAGTATAAAAAGTTCATTTTTTAAAACAGTTTTCATGTAGAAATAACTGGAGGCTCTCCATAGTATTAGGAAATATGTTTCAGACACACAATCAAATTAATGGTGGGGAGAAATATTACACATTAGAGCCTTTTCTGCCAGCAGTACCCATAATTAAACAAAGACCCATAAGGAGATCTTTTTGATTTATGAAAAGGAGTCCAGCCTCTGGCTTTAATGAATGTCCAGAAGGAAAAAAATTCCACATAAAGCAGAAAGCCAAAGAGAATTTTTTTATATGCTGTTATTCAGACTAAAATGTTGTTGCTATTACTTAGCTTGCTGTGGTCAGGGTTCACAAGAGCACGAGGAAAGGGCCATTCATGCTGCTACAGCACTTTAGCCTTTCTCTCCCTTGTTTTTTGGGGGCCATTAGTCAGTCATTAGCCTAATAAATAAATAATGATAGCTTATACAGCAGGGATCTTGCTCTTTATGGTGACATGTTTTTAAAGTCACAGGGTCACATTTTAAGTTTGTATTACTTCCCTCCAAGAAGCTTCCAGTGCCAAATAATTTAATAATTAAAGTATCTGCAAAAATGACTTTGTAGAAAATATTTTCTAATGCCAAGGGATATAATATGGTGCTTAGAGCCTCAGAATCCCCTCTGGGAAGAGCTGTGTCCTTGAAAAACCTGCTGTTCTCCAGAGGTACCAATTCAGAAAATAAGGCAGCCGTGCAAACTTGAATAAGAACTCTAAGGCTCTTACATCAGGCTGTGTACTT